GGCCTAAATAACTACCAATACTCTTTTGGGGGCTTCTTGTTATAGGTATAGTATTTTGGGGGCTCCTTGTTGTAAGTACAGTATAAAGGGCTCTAACCACGCCCCAGCCAATCGTCCCGTGATATCTGGAACCACGCTTCAAACGACCCGGAACTCTGAGCTCTCGAAGCCCTAAGCCCGAGACCTTGAAAAACAGCAACCCTAACCCAGCACAACACCACAAAACACCAAGAAACCTGAAACCCTAAACCGTAAACCCTAAAGCACTAAACCCTAAACCCTTAATCCTAAAAGACTCGAAAGAGCAAAGCCTGATTCGAGCGCAGGGCCTTAAAGTCGGCGCTCTTCTCTCCTGACCCCCCCCGCTGGCAGGCTCACGGAGAACTTTGGGGTTTCAGGATTTAGGGTTTCCGGGGGTTAAGGTTTAAGGTTTAGGGTTTAGGGCTTAGGGTTTGGGGTTTAGGGTTTAGGGCTTAGGGCGCTTAGGGTTTAGGGTTCAGGGTTTAGGGTTTAGGGTTTGGGCAGGGTATTGAAGGAAGCATTCTGGGGTTTGAGCTCGGTTCCGGGCCTGGGGGTGCTTGCAGGGAGCCTTTTCGGGCAAGAGGTTTACCTGGATCCGAAAAGTATGTCGGATACTCGCCCTTTATAGGTGTTGGGCACTTATTCTCGCCACTTTTTAGGGGTTGAGGTAGGGTTTAGACTTAGGTGTCTGGGGGTGGCAGCCGGTCGGGTGTGGCGAACCTAAAGCTCTGGATCCGAGACCACCAACCTAACACCAATCTCAAATCCTATTTGGGGATTTCCAAAAATAGGGGACCCTAATATAATACCCTAAAGAGTAGGATCCTTATTATAAGGACCCCCAAGTAAGGTACCCCTAATTTTCGGAAACTCCCATTTAGGGTTGAGGGGTTTAGGGGTTGAGGGTTTAGGATTTTTTTAGCCTATAGACTCTGCACAAAGCCCAAACTTGTCGGCCCATCTAAAATCCTATAGACCCTGCGCAAGGCCCAAACTTGTCGGCACTGTCGTCCTGGAAAGAGCCGCGGCTGCGCCCCATACAGCACCACGCCGACGAGAGCGACAAAGCCCGGGAGGAAAAGCATGCCTCCTATGAGTCGGTGTAGGGCTTATCGAGTTTAGGGGTCCGGGGTTTAGGGAAAAAGACCTAAACTCTAAACGCTAATATAGGGTTTCGGCTTCAGGGGTTGAGAGTTTAGTGTTCGGCCCGAACGATCCACGAGTGGCTTCGTTTAGGTAAGGCCCTACCATTCTCTACCCACTAATCGTGACCGGATTTGACCGTAGCCCATACATTCTGATTCGCCTCCCTAAACCCTATGACAAACCGCAAAAACCTGTATTCCGAAACCCGCGGGTCGGATTCATTCGTTATGACGTTTCTTTTATCTTCTGGGGCCACAACCTGATAAAAACCCTCATAATGAGGATTCCTAATATAGAAACCCTGCAATCAAAATACGGGTTGCTGATTTAGAAACCCTACACGTTACTAAAAAAAGGGTACTGAAGGACCCGGTGGGGATGATCGTCGCCATAATCACTGTCGTTCTCCCGGCTCAATGGGGAAAACCACCAAGACGGATCAAGACTTACATCGAAGCACACCGGTTTTTTTTTGGGGTTTAGGGTTTAGGGTTTAGGGTTTAGGGTTTAGGGTTCGAAGCACACCGGTTTAGGGTCTAGGGTTTAGGGTTTCTCATGTGAGCTCAATCTTCGCTGAGGACTGTCATTTGGTGGGCAAACCAAAATCCTCAATACGCCACTGCCTAGCAATCATGAACCCTAACCCCCTCTAAACCTGAAGCCTTACAAAGCATCCTTGACAGCCACATCAAGCACAAACATGTCTACACCCCCAACCCCTAAACTCTGCAACGCCGCACAAACTACCTGTTAAGGATATTTTAAGGACGCTAGAGCCTTTACTGGCAATGACCTGGAATGAAGAGGCGTGACGAGTAAGTATTTAAACTGTAGTAGGATGGTGTGTATATATATATATAAATACATACATACATATATATATATATGCACACTGATATGATACCTGTATGCATAGAAGCATATCGAGAACAAACAAACATGAAGCATCCCTCTCTCTAGTTGTATATGCGTATATGTATATGTATATGCAAACAGTTTAGTATGTGGAAATAAACAAATAAATACTTATATATATATATATTTATTTATATATATATATATAGATACACAGGCATGCATACGTGCATGTGACTGTCTATAGACACATGTATGCATGCCTGCCTGTCTGCCTGTCTGTCTGTGCGCATACATGTATGCAAACATGCATGCATGTATGTATGTGCATATGCACATGCGTATGTATGTGTATGTGTTTGTACATGTAACTACATGTATATACACTAACGAATGTGTCTGTATATATATATATATATGCGCGTGTACATAGCTATGCCTTGTTTGTGAAGTTCTGATTGTTTGTTTATACACGTATATGCAAACCCTAAACCCAAAACCCCAAACCGTAAACCCTAAAACCCTAAACCCTGAACCCTAAACCGCAAACCCTAAAACCCTAAACCCCCTAAACCCTAAACCCTAAAACCCTAAACCCTAAACCCTAAAACCCTAAACCCTAAACCCTAAACCCCTAAGCCCTAAACCCAAAAGCACCGAACCACCGGAAGGCCCGGTCCTGGCAGACCGGACTCTGCGGGATCTCGGAAAGCTCACTACGCTTGGAGCCCAACGATTGCACGCAGGAGTTTAGGGCTTTGGGTTTAGGTGTTTAGGGGTTTAAGGAGTTTAGGGCTTTGTGTTTAGGTGTTTAGGGGTTTAGGGCCTTGGGTTTAGGTGTTTAGGGGTTTTAGGAGTTTAGGGCTTTGGGTTTAGGTGTTTAGGGGATTAAGGAGTTTAGGGCTTTGTCTTTAAGTGTTTAGGGGTTTGGGGCCTTGGGTTTAGGTGTTTAGGGGTTTTAGGAGTTTAGGCCTTTGGGTTTAGGTATTTAGGAGCTTAAGGCTTTGGGTTGAGGTGTTTAGGGGTTTAAGGAGTTTACGGCTTTGTGTTTAAGTGTTTAGGGTTTTTTGAGTTTAGGGCTTTGGGTTTAAGTGTTTGGGAGTTTGGGGCCTTGGGTTTAGGTGTTTAGGGGTTTAAGGAGCTCAGGGCTTTGGGTTTAGGTGTTTAGGGGTTTAGGAGTTTAGGGCTTTGGGTCTAGGCGTTTAGGGGTGTAGGAGTTCAGGAGTTTAGAGCTCTGGGTTTAGGCGTTTATGGGTTTAGGCCGAAAAAGCCAGAAACACAGCCAACATTCGAAGACATAAGCCCAAACTATCCTAAACTCCTGATGCCATAAGTTTACAAATCGTAACACACACCGGCAATACCCTCAAATGAGGACATCTTGTGCGGTCCTTGCCGCCGAGGACGGCCTTAGCTGGCTCTGGAGCTCGCCATGTTAAAATGGGTTTCGGGATAACGCTAGACTATTATGGAATACTTAAGGGAGGGGGTTCTAAGGGGGGTATATAACCCAGTAATCCCCAGTTCTCCCTAGTACTCCCGTAGGTTCCCTAAAGCTCCCTAGGACCCTTTTTCCTTGAGCCACCCTCCCTTTAGGATCCGATAACTACTAGACCAGCTTTGTATCTGCAGTTCGTTCTGTTTAATGGCTGTGTTGCCCTGTCTCCTTGCAGGATCTAGAGCTCCCCTCTACACAAAAAAAACAACTTTAGGCTGAGGGTATCGGGCGGGAAAGGACGGCCCTAGACCTAGACCCCAAGCCCAAGCTTAACCCTAAAATCCTAAACCGCTCGATACCATAAACCGATCCAGTATGAATAAATATGCAGCTGTTGAAAACTGAAGCCCTGAACCATGCACTTACTTGCCCTCGCAGAACTTCCGAAGACGAAGTTCGATATAAGCCCTAATCCCCTATCCCTAAACCCTAAACCTTAAACCCTGAACCCTAAGCCAACCAACAAGAACTCTGAAACGCTTGGGAAGTCGAACTCCTGATTCAAGGCCGAGCCGCATACCCAATTAGGGTTTAGAGTTTAGGGTTTAAGGTTTAGGGTTCAAGCTTTAGGGTTTAGAGTTTAGGGTTTAAGGCTCAGGGTTTAGTTTAGGGCTCAGGGCCTAGAACACTGCCGAAACCTGAACTTTACACCCCTCAATGATCTGAGGCTCCGTTTCGACAGAACCCAAAGGCCAACCACCGCGATTCTGAACCCCAAGGGGCCCAAGACATGACAGGCCCTGTCCACAGATCCCTCTTCAGACAGCCAAGCTTCCATGAGGTAGGCTCCGCAGTATTTCCTCGGGCGTCGAAATGTCTTCGGAACTCATAGCATTGCACGCCCCGGTGGGTTCCTAGACTCTTGCAACTCTAAACTCTACAGTCTGGAGACCGTATAGGGTTTAGGGTTTAGGGGTTTAGAATTTAGGGTCTAGGGGTAAGCTCTATGCAAACCCAAACTGCGAATCCCTTACCTTTCAGCCTAAACCCGAAGAATCAATCACACGACTCAGGGCACTAGTCATCCCAATATTCGTGTCAGGGTAAACAGAGCTCAAAGCGACTGGCCACATGTGTAGAAGTCGAGGGTTCGGGTTGAAGTTCTAATCAAACATTAAACCATAAAGTCTAACACGTATATCAGCATACATCTGCATACATAAATACATAATTAAAGCATATATATACATATACACATATATGTATAAATAAAATAAACTATATATATATATATATATATATATGTGTGCATACACATATGTATATGTGCATGTAACAAAAACACACATACATACATACATACATACATACATACATACATACATACATACATACATACATACATACATACATACATTATATATATATATATGCACGCTTGTGTAAGTATTCATCCATGTATTTAATTGCATACACATGCATTGCATTGTATACTCACAAAGTGGGTGTAGTAATAGGAATACGGTTGGGAAAGCTCTATGCGATAATTTCACAAATAAAGGCAATGACAGAATACCACTACCAACTATTCAAGACCCTTAGTTACGACTTCCGGGAAGGGTGCGTGTCGGAGTCATTGATATTCTGGGTGAACCCTGAGCTATGTTCTACCATGAGAGGCCTAAACCAGAAACCCCAAACCCCTACAAAGCCCAAAGCCCTAAAAACCCTAAACCCCTAACTCCCTGAACTTCTGAACTTCTGAACCCCTGCAAACACTATAGACGAGCGATAGCCGATAGCAAGGCCGAGTGTCATCGCCATTTTCTCAGAAGGCTTCGGACCTACAGTCAAGGACAACAAACAAAGTTCAGGGTTTAGGGTTCATAGGTTTCGGGTTTAGGGTTTAGGGTTCATGGGTTTAGGGTTTAGGGTTTAGGAAGCATAGGTTTAGGGTTTAGGGTTTAAGGTTCATAGGTTTAGGGTTTAGGGTACATGGGTTTAGAGTTTAGGGTTTAGGGTTCCTGGCTTTAGGGCTTAGGGTTTAGGGTTCATGGGCTGGGGGTTTAGGGTTCATGGGTTTAGGGTTAATAGGTTTAGGGTTCATAGGTCCAAGGTTTAGGGCTTAGGGTTTAAGGTTCAGGGTCTATAGTGCGCAGGCAACCACACGCATGAGCTGCGTAAGGTTGCGGTTTCAGGCTTCAGGCTGGAATTACGGCTTGAGGCCATATTTCCCCACACCAAAACGCCTGAACCCCCAACTTCTAGGCCACAAGCCCACTACTCAGGGTTTAAAGGATTAAGCTTTAAGGTTTAAGGGTTTAGGGGTGGGTTTAGTGTTTAGGGTCGAGGCTGGAGGGGTTTAGGGTTTAGGGATCTTCGTGTCTTCGGAGGGAAGAACCGGTGTTTGAAATTGGCATCTGCAGCGCAAGAGCATGCGATAGGGAGGATGGTGGCTACCCTAAAACCCAGACCCCGAGCTTCAGGACCCTTACCCTTTCAGGCCCGTGTAGGCCTCATTGCCTACACTCGAGCTTCGGGGTGCTTCTGGCTTTGGGCCATAGCCTCGGTAAAGAAATGGACAGGGTCGAAAATGAGCCCTGTTAAACATCAACGAAACGTGTCAGAAAAGAGCCGCTCTTGGGCCAAAGTATTCACTGCTTGAATATACTATTCATTGGGGCTCTTTGTTGTAATCGCGATTTTCCCCCCTCCCCCCCCCAAAGCGCTGTTCTGAAAGTCTAGGTATAAAGGCCCGTACACTACACCCTACCTCTACACCAAAAAGCCTAGAAACTCTAGCCCCTAGACAGCCTAAACAAGTTGACATATGTATATCAAAAATCTCATAAGTCAAGCCGAAGCAGAGAAGATCTGTGTTCCTTAGGGTTCCCACACTGCTTCGAGGATCCCCCAGCAAGAAAGCCCACAGTGCGAAACCTCAACGAAATCCTGTACCCTACAGCCGGAAAGCCCTAAAGGTCCTAAAGCCCTAATGTAGGGGCCTTGATCATTAGACTAGAGTTCTGGGGTCCGTTATACTATAGTTCTAATCAAGAACCCCCACAATAGTATTGGTAATTATTTAGGCCCCTATATTAAAGCCCTAAGCCCAAACCCCCTAAACCCTAAACCCTTAACCCTAAACCCTTAACCCTAAAGCCCTAAGCCCCATCCGAGAGCAGAGCAGAGACGCCGACGAGTTGATTCTTCCCACGACTTCCCAGATAGCCCCGCTCCCGAGCCGAGCACATGCCAAGAGAGAGCTTCGGGTTTGGACGAGGGTTAATACGGGTTTAGGGTTTAGGGTTTAGGGTTTATACGGGTTTATGGGATTTCGGGTTCAGGGGCTAAGCGGTGTAGGGTTTGGAGGCTTTGGGTTCAGGGGTTTAGGGGTTAGGGCACATGCCGAGAGGGATCCCGGTCTCCTAAGAAGGTTTGCCTTTGACCGTTTCCGGCCCAGTGTTTCGGGTTGTAGTCTTGCTTGGAAGATCAGGGCCCCCTTAAACCCTAAACCCTAAACCCTAAACCCTAAACCCTAAACCCTAAACCCTAACCCTAAACCCTAAACCCTAAACCCTAAACCGTGAGTCCAGAGCTCGGGTCCAGGAGCACGCCATGGCCGGGAAACACTGATCAGGGGGGTTTCGAGGCTGAGGGTCGAACACGTAAGCCCTGAACCCTCAACTTACACCACGATCTGCAGGATGAAGGGGTTTGGGTGGTGAAGCTATTGTAAAAGTAAGACCAGGACGATGGCGAGCTGGGAATCTAGGATGGGGGAAGTACTCAACAGCTGAAGGATGTTGAGGTCGTGAGATTTGGCAGGTACCCTCGCGATATCTCTGTCGCTTTAGGTTCAGGGCTTTGGTGCATTTGTCTGCAAGCGCTGAACCTAAATCCTGTACTGCTGCAAGTTCTGAACACCAAGGTCTCACAGATGAAGAGTTTGAAGCTGTCACAGATCGAGAAGTTCATTGGCGCTGTCAGAGAACGACTGTCAAGAATGGCCGGGCTTCAGCAGCCAAGGTGGAGCTAAATCCACCTAACCCCCAGACCCCGCATCCCTAAAATCTCAAAAACCCAGCAGCCACGCAAGCCGTTAGGGTTTAGGGTTTAGGGTGTAGGGCTGTTTTGTCAGCTGCACCGGCATCCAATGGCTTCTCAGCCCTGCGCCGATTGCTGACCTCTCGGGCCACGAGAACAAAAAAAGGGGATTGCACAAAACAGTGATAGTACTGTTACAGGCTGTGTATACATAGATGGACTAGTTGGGAGGCAAGATGCTCGTGATGCCCGAACTGTGTAGAACCCCTAATCCCTAAACCCTAAACCCTAAACCCTCCCTAAACCCTAAACCCTAAACCCTAAACCCGAAACCATACGGTTTCTGGCCGAGTGAGCCTTTAGGCTCAACTTAACTCGACTTCTAGCAGGATCCTGAAGGGATGGTGGTTGAAAGGGAGAGGATCCTAGGGAACCTTAGGGAGCCTTAGAGGGAGTACTAGGGAGAATTTGGGATTGCCAGGTTGCATATGCCCTCCCTTAGATTCCCCTTTCTTTACGGAGCCCCATAGACTTCGGAATGGCAACCTAGAAACTTATTTAGGGTTTAGGGTTTAGGGTTTAGGGTTTAGGGTTGATGTAGACTGTAGATTTCGCTCCGTCAGAACCTATGCAGATGAAAGGTGGGAAGCATTGTGCGCCGCCTGCTGGGGCCGCGCAGCTGCGCGGGTAAGCGTGAGACCTTAACTGACAGGCGCAGGTAGGCTCTTGTAAGTTGAACTAGTCTGGAAATAAGTCTACTACGGCGCCATATGGTTCAAGCGCTAAGATCCCGAAGCCCTGAACTCCAACATAATAAGTTCGAGTGTTAAACCCGGAAACTCCAACCCTGAGACGAGGATATTTATGGGGCTTGCTGCAGCTGTCATGAGCATGGAACTTGACTTATTCCGCAACCCCAAAATATGAGTAATAAGTATAAGCCCTACATCAAAATCCCGCACCCTACACCCTAAAACCCCTACAGCATGACTCAAGTGCAGGTCGCGACTAATTGTTCGGGCCACGAGAAGAGTATTGTAGTCATGACCGCAGCAAAACGGCACACAGAACTGTTTTGTAAGTAGATCTGTACGCATATGTATACACATGAGCATACATACATACATTAATAGATGATCATGAATGACAATTATATATGTATGATTCGCCATAACCTCCGGTATAACGTCGCAGGTGAGATGCTGGTGGGACTGGGAAGCGGTTCCATTTTGGGCTGTTCGGGGTTTCGGGGGTTTAGGAGCTTCAGGAAGGGGGTTTAAGCATTTCTTGTGGCCTGGGGTTTTAGGGGAGTTAGGGGTTCAGGTTTTGGGCTTTAGGGTTGTAGGGTTGTGCGGGGTTGTTAGGGTCTATTGGCAGCCTTTGAGGGCTTAACTTCTCAAGGCCATAGACGGAAAGATAGATAGCTACAAGTAGGTAGGTAGGAAGTAAGTAGGCAAGCAGATAAATCTGGAGTATATGGTTTTTGATGTGGATGTAAGGCTTAACTGGGGCTCGGGGCTAGTTTCTGGTGTAGCGTTTAGAATACATAGGGCATTGCAGGGGCAAGCTATTGACCCATTCGTACTTAGCTCGCCGGGAGCATCCACACTTCATCGTTAGAGCATAGCCTGAAGGCTTTTGCAAACTCGGCTTCCACTCTTGTTGTTAAGGGATCTTTTCGCCTGCTGCTTCAAATTCAGGGATGGGAATTGAGACTTCAAAAGAAGCGTTGGCTGCGGGAAGATGATCCAGAACTGCTCCCGTGACTTTCCTAGGCTTCGTCTTAGCTCCTGACACCAAAGCGGGAATGTAGGCCATGGGTGCCGGTGCCTGCACACGCAGTAGATGCACTTCACAACCGAACCAGATATCCCCCACAATGTTACCATGCTGCCCGGCTAGTCATAATGAGTCATAATCATTTGAAAGAAAGAAATTGGAAGTGGTTAGGTGTCCTTACTCGTCTTTGATTTCGTGCCGTTTGCTTATCTGTCTTGCTGCTCGACATGAACCTGGGTGGTTTATCCCTGGATTTGCCGGGATCAAGCCTAGTTGGAGTACACCATGAGCACATCATACAGATAAATACCACCCCCCCAAAGGCAGTATGTCTTTGTTTTACGGCCCTCCTGGCACCAATCGCTTCGTTGAGATTGAGGGTTCGAAGTTAGCAGCCATGGCATCTCGAACCCCTGCACTCCAACCTCCATCTCCCAGTATCCTACACTGGGTAGCGATATCGGAACTTCCCCCCCCCCAGAGTACGCAGTCAAGGACACTGTAGGGCCATAAAGGAAGTTGAGTTTCCCAAACCCTGCCACAGAGTATAGTCTCGCTAAGCCGAACTTCTGGAGGCGTCATGAGCCCGAACACGTTATACATATAACGTCTGGAGTCTGGATATCCCAGTTTAAGAAGCCCAATGCAAGGGCCTTAATGTGTCAAGCAAGCTTGTGGGGCACATAGTCATGTAAACAATACGGGACTATATGCAAGTGGATGTTTTTACTTTAAATTCTTACCTTGCAAAACCTGAAAAAAGCCTATGCACAACCTATAGCGGCCCTATCAAACCACATAACAAAAACCCATCAAGCTTATCAACCCAAAGCAGCCCATACCAGCCCTATGGCCCTGTGAAAGCCCGAGCTACCCGAAGATACATCGGTCCGGCCTCGCTGGGAGTCGTTGGGCGAAAGCCGAACCTCTAGCAGGAGGGACGGATTTCGGGTTTGAGGTTTTAGGGATTTCGGGTTTCAGGTCTTTAGGGTTTAGGGTTTAGGGGTTTAGGGTTTAGGGTTTAAGGCTTTAGGGGTTTAGGGGTTTAGGGTGTAGGGTTTCAGGCTTTAGGGTTTGGGGGTTTAGGGGTTTAGGGGTTTGGGGTTTAAATACGGTTTTTCCAGTGTGTTTCAGGGTCTAGTGCCTCCCAGACAGTTGGAACATTAATCTAAAATGACAAGGGATTCCACGTACTTTAACCTAAGAGCATGGGAATTTTGCTGTTCCAACTTTCGGGCTTGGAAGGGGTTGGGGCTTAGGAACTGCGGCTTAGGGTTGAGGGCGTCGGGCTTCGGGTTTCGGGAAGTTAGGGGCTTCGGGTACGGAGGAAGAGGTCTTGGTGCTCGTGAGCTGTAACTATGATGAGATGGCTTGGCTTTTCTCGGCTGGTCTTATGAGGTGCTGACACACCCCGAACCCAACACCCCTAAATCCCAACTCTAAGCGCCTGAACCTCCAAACCCGAAACACTGGTGCGGTGCAGAGCGTGAGCACTGTTTTGCCCACAGCCATGTTGCTCGCGGGAGCTGTGGACCTGCAAAGTCATTTGAAGTAGGGCTCTTGTTACCAGTCTCCAAGCATACAATCACCAAGATTTCTGGAGGGAGCCCTACATACACTCATCAAAACCCCTTATGTCAGCTTAACTGATGTGGGTTTCTGAGGGAGCTACTAAACTCAGCATCCACCTGCTTGGGTGTCCACGAAATAGGTACAATAAAAGGATGAGAGTCATAGATGTTCTCGGTGTAGAATTCGAGGTTTAGGATTTAGGTTTAGAGGTGGCGCCCAGTGAGATTGAGCGTCTAAGTTTTAACGTTTAGGGCTCCAGGGGTAGTTAAGGAATAAGCCATCACAGATGCGAATCCCTTGTGTGCATCATTGCCCAACTTAACTCAATGGACAGATAGCACCCAGGCGCGATGCGAGCCGGCACAACTGTGATGACATTGCGCTGAGTAGGCAAACCACGTTCATGGACAGAGCCAATGCTGCAAAGACCCTGCCGATCCATGCCCCAAACCCCCAAACCCTAAACCCTAAACCCCAAACCCCCTGAACCCACAACACCGACACTCTGAATCCCGAAGGCCTAAACCCCAAACTTTTCGAGACCCGAGAAGAGGAACCCTTAAATTGAAGGAAGCCTTCCATTGATGAACCCCTGAAGCCCTACACCCCACAGCCTTGTCCAGACTGCACGGGAGCAGGCTGCAAGAGCGCTGTTGTGACAAGTCTCGTCGGCGAGTTGCCTCTGGGCTTACGATAGGTTTTGGCAAGGTTTTGAAGGCTGATTCAAGGTAATGTGGTACTTTGTCATAATATGTGTAGTCATATATTCAAGTCTATATCCGGGTTCTTGCAACACTACGTGGGCTCTGCATGGATCCTAAACCCACCTTCTGTGCTCTTTATGACATCGGTTGTATTGTTCGGGGTCTGTTCGGGAGTTCCCTCTTTTCTCAAGCTGCATAGACCGTGGGTATGCAGGGCTTGTGCCTGTTAGGCTTCAGAGTTGCGGGATTGACGCAGCGTCGGTGTCGACCATGCAAGAGAATCAAGTTGACGAGACTCAATATTCTGGCCTCCCGGACCCCCATCAACCGAAACCCTAAACCCCAAACC